AGAAAACCGATCTGAAATGATTTTTAGAGAGATAAAGTAGATCTGAACACGAAAATTCAAATAAACACGAAATTTTCTTCTAATTCTCTTCTAGAACACGATTCAAGAATAAATCAGATGAAATAATGAGTTGAAGAAAACAGATCTGAACAAGATTTTTCAATAAAAACGAGGAATAGGCTTTTTCTTTTCAGAAAACTTACAAAACTTGAAGAACAAGGTGAGATTCATGATAAAATATCGCCATTAACAAGATCGATTCTTGCAAAAATCGCTGAGATCTACAAGAACATGCTCTAATACCACCTGTTAGGAATAACTCTGAGATGACGAATGCGGAATATCAAGAACAATGAGAATCAATCACCACAATATGCAAGTAATCTGATAAAGTTTTTTCATATATTGATTATGAGATGAACGTACAGAGAAAACCCTAATCTGGTCAAAAGCTTACACCAAAACTAAACCTAATGATTATTTATAGGGAACAATAAATATCTACCATAAATATAAAATAAATGCCTAATATAAAACCAATGCCTTAGAAGAGCTCGATTAAGAACTTCTATTGTAAAGGCACCGTAGGGAATCATAAAATGATTAACCCTAAAAAGGCTTCCCTAAATAACCAAATATGCCAAATCAGTTTCAATATCTCAAATACTCAACAACAACCTTCTTAGTTGGGACAAGATTAAGCATGTGGGCAGCGTCTTTAAGGCATAACCCCATAATGAAATTGGAAGAGAAGCCCAACTCATCATGGAATGAACCATTTCCAACAAGGTTCGATTGCGCCTCTCAGCCACACCATTAAGTTGTGGTGTTCTAGGAGGTGTCACTTGTGAAACTATTCCACATTCCTTGAGGTAGTCATAGAACTCGATGCTAAGATACTCACCGTCTCTATCAGATCTAAGCATCTTTATCTTATTGTCCAATTGATTCTTGACTTCATGTTTAAACTCTTTGAACTTTTCAAAGGTTTCAGACTTATGCTTGATTAGGTAGATATAGCGATATCTGCTATAATCATCAGTAATACTCACATAAAATCGATTAGCATCCCTTGTGGTGGATCTGAAGGGTCCACACACATCTGTGTGTATGAGATCCAACAAATCTTCACCTCTTTCACAAGAGCCGGTGAAAGGTGATTTTGTCATCTTACCCAAAAGACAAGATTCACATTCATCATCTGATCTTAGGTCAAACGATTCTAACACTCCATCCTTTTGGAGTTGGGCGATGCGCTTCTTGTTAATGTGTCTAAGACGACAATGCCACAATCACGCTTTGTCTATACCATTAGACGAGTCAATATGAAACACACTATTACCTAAATTGTCTACACACATCATAGTTTCATACACACCATCACAAGGTAAAGCTTCAAAATAAAAAAACACCATTTTTATAAGCAGAAATAGAACCATTCTCATCATTAAAAGAATATCTAAAACCTTGTTTAAACAATGCATGAAAGGAAATAATGTTTCCTGTCATTTCTGACGAGTAGCAACAATTCAATAAATCTAAACTAACTCTATCACTAAGTACACGACCATAAACTCAATCTTGGTGACATGTGAATATCGCCTATTCCCCATGATCAAAGTTTATTCTTCCGTGCTCCACATCCTTACTTCTTCTTAGTCCCTGCAAATCAGAACAAATTTGAAATCCACATCATGTATCAAGGACCCAAGAACGAGAATATGATGAGTTTTTAGATAAGATAGTGTATATACCTACAAAAGTTGGCTTCACTTTGACGTCTTTGATGTCTTACAGATATTTTGGGCAGCTTCATTTCCAATGCCCTTTGTCGTTGTAGTAGAAACAAGTGGCCTCTTTGTGATCAGAGACAGGGGGAGCATCAGAATTGGATTTTCCTTTGGGTCCATTGCTTGACGACCCAACTTGATACTTTCCCTTCCAGTTTTGCTTGGTAGGACCTTTCCTCTTTTTCCCTTTCCCTTGACCAATGGCCAGAACGGGAGCACTAGCAGAAGTGGAGGCAACACCTTTTCCCTTCATCCTTGCTTCAGTTGTTTGTAGAAGGATGTGCAATTGAGATAAAGTAGTTTCATTGTTGTTCAAATGATAAGTCAAGATGAACTGATCATAACAACTTGGCAAGCAGTTCAACACTATGTCGATTGCCAACTCTTTATCAAAATTCACATTAAGCTTGACAAGCCTGTCCACGTATCGTTGCATTCTCTGAACGTGGCTGGTAACATATTCTCCCTTTTTCATCTTGCTAGCTATAAGGGACTTTATCACCTCATACTTTTCTTGATGAGCTCGCTTATGGTAATTCTCTATAAGGTCATTGTTCATCATGTACGACCAGTAATCCTCATAGTATCTCTGCAATTCAGGAGTTATTGTAGCGACCATGATGTAAGAAACTTTTGTCGCATCATTGTAGTGCTTTTTGAAGGCGACCATTTCTTTAGGAGTGGCCTTCTCTTCGTCGATCTCATCCAATGGTCTCTCAAGGACATACTCCTTGTCCTCGAAACGAAGGGCCATTTTTATGTTACGCATCCAGTCATTGTAGTTGGTGCCATCCAATTGCACCTTGGAGCAGATGTTCAACAAGGAAAAGTTACGGTTGGAGGAGGAGGAACCAGAATCATCACTTGGAGTAGACATCTGTAAAAGAAATGTAGTTTTTCGTTAGATAAGAATAATCATCAATATAACAACCCAAAAGTGAAATATCAAGGCTGGGATCCAACTAAATAATTCACAACTTAGAAAAGGGATGTCGTAATCTAATTGTAAATTATATAAAGGTAGGTAAATGACGATTTACCAATTCCACCATCGAAAAATGAAATTTGAATAAAATTTACTTAAGTGAAATTCCTAGATCTTTTGAGACTCATTGAAACTATTCAATGGCATGTTTAATCTCAGATTATGCTCTTCCATTTGTGACTGGGATACCGAGGATCACAAACAAGATGTGAATAAACATGCAAATTAGCTTAGAACTCTCGATGTCATTTATCATCTCATTTTAATGTGAAGGTTAACCACACGCGTTCCATTAATCAATGATAAGTTTCGAGATGCCCATTATGACTCTTTATAGTCACTATTAGTGTGTCGGTTAACCATACGCGCTCCACTAACTACTATAAAGTATAATGTGTAATTTCATGGGTTAGCGTACAAATTCATATTTTCCTAAAGTAACTAAGATTGGGATTTAAAATAAAATGTTTAGTGACTTTTAATCGCATTATACTTATTAATGAAAATTAATTGTCCTATCAAACCCGTTCGACTAACAACCCTCCACCAATCAAGGAAGCGGTGTGTGATAGTGGACACCCATTCAACTACCATTTTATAGGCAGTTTCCTTATACCCCCTTATAGATCGGCTTCATGAATGAGACATACTAGCGGTTCGACTGACTTAGTCTTATACGTATAGTACTAATTAAACATTTAATTCTACATATAGTATAAGGTGTATTTTTAAAACTTTTTCAAAAATACCAGTTTATATTTTAAATTTTGAAAATTAAACAATTAATTTAAATTTTAATATAAACCACATTAATATTTGACATTAATTATTAAGTTCAATTAATATCCAAATTTATTATTTAAACACTTAAAAACTAAAATTATTAATTAACAAAACAATTAATCAAGTCAAATACTTATCTCGTAACCTATAGACTTTTATTTTATCATCAAAGATACAATAAAATTGGATTTGGAAGATAAATATAGTAGGTAATTATCACATAAAAGCAGATTAGGCAGATAAATATAGTAGGTAGTTATCACATGAAACTCTGTCCAGACTTTCATCTCCGAGATCGACACAGCCGTCGACTCCACTCCAGCCGACGATTCCATCACAGGTAAGATTTTTGATTTCCATCACATGTTTGATTTTTGAATCATAATTTTCCCAATTCGATTTTTTGAATGAGTTTACTTCGATTCTATTGCACCTTAGGGTTCGATTTGCTGTATTTAATTAGTTACAAGTCAGGTAGTGTGTGATAGTTTGTTCAACCCTACCGTTCTTAACTCTGCTTCAACCCTTTGCTTTTGCATTCTGATTTTCTAAGCATTATGAGGTCAACTCTTTAATTTTGATTTTCAAAGCATTGTGATTTAATGATATTTATTCAATCTATGATTCACTACAATTTCATTGTTTAGGTGTACCATATTCAATGGTCGAATGAGACAAAATGAAGCTTCTCCACTTCCTAGTCATAACAGAGTGAAAATTAACATCCATGGGAGGTGACATGACAGGGTTGTTTTGGCAACCAAGTAGAGGTAGCCCAGAGTGTTCTCCACTTCCTAGTCCTAAAATGATAAGTCCAGGTCCTAGCTCTAGAATCCATAGTGAGGCAGTGACACCACTTCATCCAAGGGTAGGGGGATGGGCAGATCGGTCAGAAGATGTGAAACAGAAAAGTCATCGGTTACCGCTTCCTCCGGTGGTTACAATTTCCAATTCTTTACCCTTCTCTCAATCAAATTCAGCAGCCACTTCACCTTCTGTTCCAAGAAGTCCAGGGAGGCCTGATAATTTACCTAGCCCAGGGTCAAAATGGAAGAAAGGGAAGCTTCTGGGTAGAGTGATAGAAAAGCTCCGGATGGATGAACGGTTTGATCTGAGCATGAGTGATATGGATTTAGTACCTCTTTTGATTCAGGAAAACTATATAAACTACAGACCAAGTACAGCTGGCAAAGATGATAATGGTGTGAACGAAATATAAATAGTTACCATGACTTATTTTATTTTTTACTCCCGGAAAACTATATAAGCTACGTGGACAAATGGAAACACTTGAACCGCTAAAAGTTCTTTAATTGGGTATATAAATAAATCTATGTATGTATATAAAAATATAAATATTTACCATGACTTATTTTATTTTTTATATATAGGGTGAACGAAACTTTAACAGATTTGGGGGGCGGTTTGGAAAGAACTCTACCATGGGAAAGAATTATAGGCTTCTTGAAGATGCTCATGTTCATCTTCTAGCTTCTCTACAATTCAATTTGGGCAGGTGATATATAGTTTCTGAATAAGTTATTGAGTGTTTTTTTAGTTTTTTCTCCGAAATGTAATAGTTTGATAATTTTGGTCAGCTGGTGTAGGTCAACCCTGTGTCTCGATTATCTGTCTCTTCTACATACGCACATGACTGATCCATTGAAGACACTGCCAAAGGTACAAGTGATTTTTTTTAATTTTTTTTTAAAAGTGTTTCTTTTTATTAAATGTTGTTGTTGGATAATTAATTGGCAGGATGAAGGTGTTGAAAAGGTTGTTGAGTTTATGGATGCATACTCCATTAGTCAGGAGGATTTTGAATCACTGATGCTCATGTCCAAGTTTCAGGTAAATAACAAGTTGTGGTTTTCTATTCACTTGGATTATAAATTTATAATTCTTATTGTATGTGTGTAGGAGCGACCTAATTTACTTGAGGGTGTGCAACCTGCTGTGAAAGCTACACTGACAAAGGCATACAATAAAGGAAGCAAGACACGAGTGATACGGACAACAGATTTGATCACACTTCCAGGCATTAAAAAAGCTCCAAAGAAACGGGGTCAAGCAATGCTAGAGCCAATAGATGTTGGTGATTGAATAGTGGAGAATGAAGAAAACAACCCGGATGATGTTTAGGATTTGGGTATTATTCTTATTATTTTTCACATTGTTTTTGTTTATCATCTTTTAAAGTGGTTTGCCTTTAACTAAGTTTTTGTGTAATTTATCTAAATAAAAAAAATCAGAAGGTGATGCTGAGGAGGAAAAGCCTAAAGTGGACATTGCAAGCCTCTCTTCAAAAGGTAAGATTAAGATTCTCCTCCTTACAATTTCTGGAAGCAGATAACTCTGTTATTGAGTTGGACTTATTTTGGTTGTAGGATCAGATTTGAGTAACAAACTTAATTACATTCCTGGCTGTTGGATTCCATTCCTGTTCATTGCATATAGAAGACATATTTTCCTATTATAATCTTATTTGGGTTTTAATGATGTTCTATTAGTTTGTTTAATTTTTACCTTGTTTATTCCATTCTTGGTCATTACATATAGCAGACATACTAATACTGATTATGTGACTAGATAATAGTTAGTATCTATGATGTATCTGTTGATTTTACTAATGTGGGAGAGCTCCTCAATGTATAATCCATAACCACATTTTATTCTATGCCAAATAATAATAATAAAAAAACTTAGGTGTCGATTTTGAGTCAAACTAACTAATGTTTCTTTTTGAATCTAATGAGTATTCTTCTATTTTGTTTTAGAGTTTTGAAAGGTGAATTACAAAAGGATGGGTGATACCAATGAAATCAAAGCATCCTTCTACACTTGCAGGTCCTTTTTCCTTTTTACAATTGTTATCTTTCTAATACTCTGTCTGCTTCATGACAGTTACCATGCAAAAACTGTGATAAATAGTAAGTTTACCCCTGGAAAGGACTCCATTCAACAAGGATCATATATTGACATCAAGGGTTCAAACTGTTCTCTTTAGTAAGGTAATTATAGGTTGAAATGAAATAGTCCATTTACTTGAGATTTTTGTGATTTTTACGGAATTAATCGATATTTTAATTTTCAAAATTGAAATCCAAAATGAAGTAATTATTTAGTTATATGGAATCTGATCTATGCTATTTGCTAAATATGGTGTTTATATGACATTTGCCAAATTGCTTCTATTTGCTAAAATGGTTAATACATGTTCAAGTATGTATACCAATACCTTTTTGATATAGCGATATAATAATTTATCTATTCCATGAGTTTGTTTGCAAATATTTATCTAGAAACTTGATTAATTTGTTTTATATTTATCTTTATCTTTCGAGTAGGAAGAAGATCCAGAATGGTATTCATGGGCAACCACCTTTATCTCAGAGCCTGTTATAAACTACACTGCAATTTATCAATTCAGGTTATTCTTTTAGAAAGGAAATTGTCAAAGGAGAATTTAGTCATGGGTTTCTTTTAATGTTGTACATGTTTTGTTTTCTATAATTAATATTATGCAATATTAGCAATGTGTTACATTTACTTACAATTGGAATGATTATTTGTATTTGACATATTAGTGCAATGAATTATCTTTATTGTTTATGGTTTTTTGTTTTGTATTATTAGACTTTTAATGTGTTATTTAATTTGAAAATTAGTAAATCTATCAAAAATATATAATTTTAAAAACATTTAAAATTATGACACGCAAAAATGCGTGTCGTCTTCCTTTATGACAGGGGCTTCCTTGATACGCATTACGTGTCATAAACACGCGTGTCGTAAGGTTGCGACACGCAAATGCATGTCGTCTTCCTTTATGACAGGGCCTTCCTTGATACGCATTGCGTGTCATAACTGCGCGTCGTAAATGCGTGTCATAAACGCGCGTCGTAAATAGACGACGCGCAAAAGCATGTCGTCTCTCGTTATGACAGGACCTTCATTGACACGCATTTGCCCGTCGTCTGAGCGTTTTACGACACGCATTGCGCGTCGTAAAAGGCTGTTTTTCTAGTAGTGTCAGAAACGCCACAATTCATGATATTACAACCATTACAAAAGACTACACCCTCGGGGTTTGTGACTTCCTTGCTACGTGTAAGGGTACTGTGCTTCCAATAGTACTGGCCCATACTACCTTCCACTCCTACCCGTATTTGTCTCCATGGATCGTCACAGACCATTCGAATACAAAACTCCACGACTAGGATACACATACATCCTATGTTCAATCTCTCGAGAGTGGCTAATCATCCCTCAAGCCGGCCTGCTACCATCACCCACTCATGGAACTTCTGTTGAATTAGGTGTCTAAGCCAATAACTAAATTGGTATATACTTGAATTATTAGCAAAGCCCTTTTGGGTTTCCCTCAAACCTAGTAATTGACTAGAATGCTTTTTGGAGAGAGAGAGGTTGATTTATTGATATTTTATGAGATTAATAAATTGCATTTAATGATTTATTAATATATTATGAGAATAATATATTAATTAGAAATATTATTATTTAATTAAGAATTAATCAGAAATTTATTAGAATTAATTTTGGGATTAATTGGATTAATTAAAAGTACAATGACCTAAGTTGTAATTGTTCAATAGTTGAACAAAAGGGGTTCCAGAACCTTCCCCAATGCGGTGGAAGGTTTTGTAGGAATATTCTAGCGTTTCTAGAATATCCCTTTGAGATAATTACGAGACTGGATAATTACCTAATTTGAAATAATAGTATTATACTCAAATTAGGGTTTCCAGGGTTTCCTAGTTCAACTATAAATAGGGCCTTAACCCTTCTTATTTTCGGTCACTCCTTCTCTCAAAAGAATAATCGAAAATATTCTCTCTCCACAAAGTGATCTGATTGCTAGGGTTTTGGTACAAACCATTAGAGGCACGAGATTTTTGGTGCTAGCTTCCAAGTCAATTCAAGAAGGATTTATTTGATTATTTACTATAATAATCAAGAAGGTATGTAAACCATAAACCTTTTATGATTTTCGATTTTACTAGGTTTACATTAGGGTTCTTGATGTTCAATAGATTATAGCATTCAGTAGTGAAACATAGATCTAATTAGGTTGCATGTGAACTTAAGAGTTAAGTTATTTTCCGCCACATGAATTTTTGTAACCTATAAAACCTATCAACTTCCACCAACCCTGCAGACACTCGTGCGTTCTAATCATACATAACGTTGGATTCTATAGACAGTCGAATACTTGATTCTACCCTAAGCCTAGAACCAGACAAAAAACAGGAAATAAGGCTAAATCAAACATTCTCAGACAATAAAATCTTAGTTATGTATAACTATGATGCACACACTAAGAAACTATAGTAATGATTTCAATTCCATCTAACATAATAGAAGTTCTCCTAGGCTATCAGGCATCACACATCAGGCAGTTCTATAATGAAAATCATGAGGATCCCTAGCCTACAACTAACATGCAATTCTATAATAATCATCATAATAAAATATATCTTGGGGCATACTTCCTTGCTCCGGTTGATCGTGCACATCTCATCCTTCTTTGGTTACCCTTTGAAACAATTTTGAAGAAAATTCTTTGAAAATTTTTTACAGATCCTTAGTCTGAGTCTGGATTCACATTAATGCTCTTCCAATTCGCTCAAACCAGGGCTCTGATACCAACTTGTAACATCCCAAAAATCACAATAAAATTTTCATTTTTCAATTTAGTAAAAATCACTGCTTCAATCAAAACCCAATTCATAAGAACCAAATATCCAAAAACAAAAATCCCAAAATCAGAGTATCATAAAATCTCCAAAACATATCACCGAAGGATGTGTACGATCATGCATTCGCCTTACCCCGATCATCCGAAGTACCTGAAACATAATACTTAAATTGTAAGCTAAATCTTAGTGAGTTTGCCCAAAATACCACCACACAACATATAACAGCATGCATACTGGGTCTACAACCATTAGACCGGATTACCCCTGAGCCCACAACATGAGTCTGGTTTTTCTACCTGGCCCACAACTCCTGTTTGGATTGCTCCAGAGCCCATAACATAAGTCTGGCTTGCCTTTCCGACCCATAACTTATGTATGGCTTGGGCCCAGGTTTGTTGGCTTGCGCATAAAGCAATATTTCCTCAACCCAAATGCACTATGTCATAATATGCAACATATAACCAGCAAACAGATAATCATGCAGATCTAAGAGATAACTATAGCATAGCAAAATCCTATATACTAGGATACATAACCCAGTGGGCCGGCATTGGTGCCCCCGACCCACGAGTACAGCGAGGAAAACTCACCTCATAGTCTGACATGTAACTGAAAAGATAACTGCTCTAACTGCTATTTCTAATGGTCACCTATACAATAAACAATGACCTAAGCTCAAACTATTACTCCAAATACCCAAAATTCCCCTAAGTCAAACTTGGTCAAACCCTTGGTCAAGGTCAAAAGTCAGAAAGTCAAAAAGTCAAAGAGGCCAACACTGACTGAGTACCACTCGGCGTAATCAGTCACTACGCTCAGCGTAAATAACACCTTCCTGATTAGGGGGCTCCATCTTGGTATGCTCAGCGTACCACCGGGTACGCCCAGCATACTCGGATAACTTCATTTTCCTTCATTAAGTGCTTATTCCATTAAGATATCACGTCCAAAGCTCAGATCTAGTCCCAAACATCATTCTAAGTCTTAAAGTTCCCAACTTTATGATTTTCCATGACTAGTATTGGTCCTAAAATCAAAACCCTAACTTAAAACACAAACCCGAGCACCATAACTCTTGTGTGGAGGGAAGAAAGGGATGAAGACCACATTTTTATGATTCCTAACACTCAAAAATGTCTGAAAGGACAACTCTTATGGTTTAGAGTAAGCCATACTCATGAGCACCAAAATTTTGGGACCAAAATGCATAAAATCTTAAGAACTAGCAAGATCCAAGGAAAACATTCATGAAGTTCCAAGCTTTATACCTTCAAGGGATGCTTGAGGGTGAGATACTTCTGGATCTAGGTTTCCTTGAGCTTACAAGATGATTCCACTTCCTCCTTATTCCTTCAAGAGCACAAAAATACACTCTCAAGCTTA